ATTTACCAGTGCACTACCAACTTGTGAATATTTATTTTTTGCATTCTTGACATAAACTCAGGACCTTGTGCTTTCAAGGCAGGCATGGTACCACTGACCAAAATCTCTGGACCTAACTTCTGAATCTTGAAAATTTAATGGTTCCTATTGCAATAGGAAAAGACTTTATGAACAAAACCTCAGTAGCACAGGAACTAGCACAAAGAATCAACAACTGAGATCTCATCTTATTAAAAACTGTCTGCACTTCAAGAGAAACCACCATCAGAGCTAAGAGACAGCCCTTCAATGTGGAAAAAACATTTTAGCAGGTGTACCTCAGATAAAGGACTACTATCTAGAATATATAAAGAACTTAAAAAAAATCAGACTCTCAAATTCAAAGGCCCAATTCAAAAATGGGCATCTGAAATAAACAGACATTTCTCAGACAAAGTAAAAGCACCAAATAAACACATGAAAAAATGTTCAGCATCACTGGTCATTCAAGAGATGCAGATGAAAACAACTCTAAGATTTCACCTCACCCCAGAAAGAAAGACTGGTATCTAGAAATCAATCAATAACAAATGCTGGCAGGAGTGTGGTGAGAAAGGAACCCTTCACCATTGTTGGTGGGAGTGCAGACTGGTGCAACCACTATGGAAATCAGTATGTAGACACCTCAAAGTACTAGGACTAAAGGTCCCATTTGACCCAGCTATTCCCCTGCTGGGTAACTTCCCAAAAGAATTAAAGGAATCATACCACAGTGATATATGTGCACCCATGTTTATATCAACACAGTTTGTAATAGTTAAAGCTTGGAAACAGCCCAAGTGCCCATCAACTGGAAACTGGATAAAGAAGATGTGTTTTTTTGTAAAATGGAGTACTACTCAGCCATAAAGAATGAGAAACTAGAGACATTTATAGCTAAATAGATGGATATTGAGGCCATACTCTTACATCAGGTAAATAGGACACACATGTATAAATACTGAATAGTTGCTATAGTGTGAGAAACTGAAAGTGTAAATAAGGATTGAAATGACTGATTGAAACTTTGAAATAGGAAGAAAAGGTCCAAAGGGTAGGGGAAGTGGGAGGGGAAGGGGAAAGGAAAGAAGAGAAAGGAAAAATTATGAGAAAAGAACAAATGGAAACAAAGTCTTTGTAAATAGGCAAGGATGGAGGGGGTGAAGGGAGGACAGGGAATGGGGGAAAAAGCAAGAACCAAGATGCATCATGTACAGGTACAAGTACCCAATGATAAATGTAAATGTATTGTATACCTAAAATGTACCAGTAAAGAATTTTAAAAAAAGAAAAAAGAAAATGTAATGGTTCCTCAACTCAGCCATTTTCTAACTGATCCTTTCCAGTCTGTTCTTTTGCTTCTACATTGATTGTTTGTTCATGCCTTCTTTTATGCATTCTTTCATATTCCCTCCATCCTTCCTTCCTCTCTATCTCCCTGTTGTCTCTGTTGCTTGCTATCTTCCTTCCTCCCTCCAACCCTCTCTTCTTCCTTCCTTTTTCTTATGTTTTTGAGACTGTATCCTATTAAATCATGTAAAAAATGTGTAAACCCTACAAGTCCCAATGAATGCTATGACTTATCAAATCCAGTAGAAATAATTTCTACAAATTATTTTGAACACATTAATATTCTCTCATATTTCTATCATTGAGTTAATGAAGAACTTCAATACTAAGGTGAAAATATCAGAAAATTCCTACATTTCTTTATACAAAGTAATCTTAAAAACAGGAAATCTGTTGCTAGACAATTTTTCTTTTAATTGGGATATCACTCTATAAAGCTATGTGGAATTAAGCCAAGTATTTAAATTTATGTATATGGTTTTCTCATTTGTGATACAATGAAATAGTATAAAAATTTCATGGAAATTTAACCACAGAAATTACAGGCATTAATGAAATTGTCCAGTAGCTAATAAGCTGCATCGAAAAGCACAATATTACTGTTGAAAGGCATGAAAATTTCCTCATTGTCTTAGGATTTCTGGCTAATTGGGATGATGTCAACACAAAAACAACTTAACTATGGTAAGTATTCAAATTTATTCCATAAAATTTTATTTGAGAATAGGCTAGAAAATGGCAAGGCTAAAGCCAGCACTCCTCACAATTCATTTCAGAGTATTTTAATTGATGTATATAAATATTGATCATTATGTAAATGTTTTCATTAAGGCCTTTGCCCCCAGCCCATCCCACCTACTTCCTCCCTCCTCCTTTCTGATCCTAAGTTAACAGAAGAATTGGAGAGTTCCTCAAATTATAAATTACATATTGTTTCTTCAGATATTGACATTACTGATTATTCTGTCTTCATAAAGCAGTGGTAAGAATTCAACCTCACTGAAATGTTCTGCAACAAGACACTAACCTTAACCCTCAAGAAACCCTTAATGAAATATTTTAGCTTTATTATTATGTTTTAATTTCTTGTTATTCTTCACAAGACAACATCACACATGACTATATATAGCAAACCAGCTATTTTCCCACTAATCATTGCCAAATATATGATAGTATCCAGGCTAGTTATGTCTTTTTGCTTATTTTTCTTTTATAAAATAAAAAATAAAGTACACTAAAATGATAAAACACATTACATGAATGAAGCCCATAGAAGAAGCCAGACAGATAGATAGACAAACCAGTAGGTAGGTTCTGCCCCATTCCTGTGTGACCTGAGGATGCCTATTTATCCTCTCAGTTCTGTTAGTGAAGACTGGAGTCCTGTCCAATGCATGAGACATGGGGGTTCCTTAGTAATAGGCTAACAAACTGGTCCTGGCACAATATATTGAGTCATATAATTAGGATAAAAAACTCAATGCATTGTATTAAAATAATTATGCAAACTCAAAAGTACACATCCTAATAAATTTTTTTCTCAAAAACAGGGAAAAGACAGAAGAATATTACTATTATGCAAACAAATTGTAACTAGTCTGGAATTCCTGTATGTTTTCTTAGAATTTTAATGCTTTATACTTTTTTTAATGAATATGTGTTACATCTATTGTCAAGTCAGTCATTTAAGTGTAAAAAACTTCCAAGTGAAAAATTTGATTGTTTCATCTTTCATAATGTCAATTGTAAAGATATTATGACTCAGCAAATTTCTTCTCTAACTTTCTATTCAAATAAATCCTGATTAATCAGTCAAATGTAAACATTCTAGGCAAGTTTATGTAACTATGCTTCAATTTAAATAGTAAATGAATGATGTTCAGCAGAAGCTTGGAGCATCACATGGAAAGACGAAATGTTCATGCTGTAAATGTGGGACTTCTAAGGGAAAAGACAAATACCAGTACTATTTAAAGACTTGAACTTTTCTCCTTGGAATAAGACCAAGAAATCTTTCAGGGAAATTGCTCCCCAAGGATGACCAAAAGCTGCAGTGTTCTGAATGCACAGTATATGAGGCTGACTGGGAGGAGAGGCACACACTGGTCTGTTTCCATTCACAGGTCTCCCTCTGACTCTTTTCGGAGGAAACTTCAGTGTGAGCTTTCCATTTGATCAAGACTTGAACAAAATTTCTAGGATGATACAGTTTTCCTCAGGAAATAAAATGAATGAGGGAAAACATAAAGATAAATTAACCATAGGAAAACAAAGTGATTGCAATAATTTTCAGTTCCCTATATGGTTTCCTATTTTATTTCTGAGAATATTTTGCTCCTGACAAAATTCTAAACAAACATTGGAAAACAATTTTTCCTGCAACTTTGGTGCACAGTAAGTATCATTCTGAGAACAGGAGGGGATTATACTGAAAAAAATAAAGGGGAATTTATCAAAAAACATGTACACAAATATCCTTTGGGCCACCTGATCATCAATGTTAAGATTTGCAGAAAAAGGAACATAGAGTTTGTGAAATGAAAGTATACAAACAATGTATATATGCTGAAAATACAATTTTTTGAGGAAAATTGATTTTGAATGGACAAGTAAAAAATACACTGTTACCAGAGCTGAAGGTCCATACCCCCTTTGGTTGCATCATAGAATGAGAAGTGTCATTTTGGTGGAAAGAAAAAGGTTTATTTACTCCACAGGCGAGACAGGAGCCTCTGCTCCTCACAAATCTCTGTCTCCCTGTGTTACTTTCTGCCAGGGCTTTTATGTCCAGGTGACTCCAAGCTCCCTGTTTTCCCTTTCCAAGTTAAAGCAGACCATGACTTCCTGGTGTGGTATCTGAATTTTCTTTTCAGGCAGTCATGATATTATTCAGACTGAGCATACATTTGATGTGCAGTCATATGTGTGGAGGTGAGGAAGAATATTCCTGCTCTCAGACAGTAGAAGCTAGGAAAGCCTATTATTAAATATCCAAAAGTTATAAAGATTACATTTTTCTCTGTTACTATATCTTCAGGAATTTAATATTCATGTGAAACACCTAAATCCCCAGACAAAAATTGCTTTAATTAGTATAATGAGTCATTTCCAACAAAATGACAGTGATTAATACAATAAATATTTTTTTAGCATAGTGAATTATATATCCTAATTTGGGATTCATAAAACAAGTTCTGATCAGGAACACAGTATTACAAGTCTGTTCTCTGAAGTCAAAATATCTAGGTAGAATAATTGGCAACATGTAACTGCTCTTTTTTACATAATTAATTTCTGTCGCCTTTTTCGGAAGTAAACTGTGTGGCTCAGAGTCCTTATGATATAATATTTACCTGAAGATTGAATGTGTTAATAAAGGAATGAGTTAGAAGTAGTATCATTTTCATGCTAGAAACAGGATGTAACCCTTTAATACATTAGAAACAATGATCATTCATTTTATGCCCATTTCTATACATTGTGATTGTATTTTTTCACTTTTTCAAAATGGTTTTCATCAATTTCTAGGAATACAATGAAAAATACTGAGCCATTCACTTAAACAAAAATATTTTTAGAGACAGGGTAATTTTTAAGATTTATTATTCAAAGGATAAGTGCACCAAAACACCATGGTTAGATGGAACACCACCAGTGTGCCTGGCTTCATCCTCATGGGGCTGACGGACTCTTCAGGGACACAGCTGGTCCTCTCCATGCTCTTTCTCCTGATTTACCTGATCACGGTGCTGGGGAATATGGGGATATTACTGATCATTCGCCTGGATCCCCAGCTTCACACCCCCATGTACTTTTTTCTCACTCACCTGTCATTTCTCGACCTCAGCTATTCAAGTGTCTTCACGCCTAAAACCTTACAGGACTTACTGACTTCCACCAAGAGCATCTCCTTCCTGGGCTGCTTTACCCAGATGTACTTTTTTATAGTCTTTGGTGCTGCTGAATGTTTCCTTCTTTCCTGGATGGCCTATGATCGCTATGTAGCTATCTGCCAGCCTCTACACTATCCAATAATTATGTCCACAAGACTGTGCTGTGCCCTCCTTGCTAGCTCCTATGTTATTGGCTTTGTGGATGCCACTGTGAATGTGCTTTGCATAAGCCAACTGCCCTTCTGTAACTCTAATGTCATCCAGCACTTTTTCTGTGACACATCCCCAATTCTAGCCCTGTCCTGCGCTGACACTTATGAGATTGAAATTATTATATTCATTTGTGCTGGGTCTATTTTAGTACTGTCCCTTATCACCATATCTGGATCTTATGTGTCCATCCTCTCCACTATCCTGAAAATTAATTCCACTGCTGGAAAGAAAAAAACCTTCTCCACCTGTGCTTCCCATCTTATGGGAGTCACCATATTTTACAGCACTGTGATCTTTACACATCTAAAACCAAAGACTTCCTACTCCTTAGGAAAGGATCAGGTGGCTTCTGTGTTTTACACGATTGTGATCCCCATGCTGAACCCTCTCATTTACAGTCTCAGAAACAAAGAAGTGAAAAAGGCTGTTTTCAGGATCGTGCAGAAGAGTGCGGGTTCTAGATAATTAAAATACCCCAGATGCTAGGTATTTACAGTTTTCCACTTGTCTTTTTTATCTTCTAAGAAATTCTTCAGTCTCATTCTAAAAATAAAATTAAAGCTTCTTATTTTCCCCTTTTCAGCTGCTCTTTACTTTACAAACATGAATTTGGACAGTTTTAGACATGGATACTTAATAATTCATATTATTATCTGGCATTATAAATTACTTGTTAAATCTAAGATGTAAAAAAATCTGTAATGTGAAGTAAAATTTTCATGCAAAAAGAGAAAATTTTTGTACATTTAAATATTATATCATTGTAATATTTCTGCTTACCCCAATTTTAGAGACTTTCATAATGAAAAAGGACTTCATTTTTCATATGTCATTCTGTTTATATTGATTATCAGCTATGATGTTTGGGTTAATTGATTTTAAGTCAAGATTACTACATTTAGATTCTAGATCTGGTGCTTCTCTATCATTTGACAAACGCTAATTCACTGAAACAATAACTTTCAGTATGCCCACCTGCATGATATATAATAATTCCATGCCCCTCTCATCAGTAGATGGAAATAAAACTTTTAGGACAATAAAATAAGTGCTAGCCATTATCACCACAAGCCTTGCATTCCTATAATACGTTCACATAATAAACACTACATATTTCTGAATAGTGCACATTTATATTTTACAAATATGTTTTATTCAATTTAATTCAGAAGCTAACCTACTGCTAAAAAAATATTGAGTAGCAGTTCCCACTGAAGGATTAGGTAATATATTGAAGTAGACTTAAATTCTAGGAAAGTAATATTTCTTAATGTTGAAGACAATTTGGAGAATGAAGATTATATATTAAAGATAAATACCATATGGATTGTTGCTTGTTTCATGCATGTTTTTCTAAATTGGTGGATATTAATAAAAGCCTATATAAATTTAACACAATTCCTGTCATTTCTAGTGTAATTTTGGCACTTTCTTCATTCTTACCTTGAGTTGCTTAGATCACAGGTGCAGAGGGTGTGGGGTCAAAACCATGAGGACTACTCTTTGCCTTTACTGCACCAGGAAGTGCTGTGGTCAGACTCAGAAAGAAATCAAAACTTGCACTCATCTAGGAAAGAACTGAAATGAGAAAAGAAGTAATGGATTGGAAACATCTAGGAAAGCTCTAAAGAGTATAAAGCAAAAGAATGTGGAAAAAACACACCTGGATTTAAGAGCCCCAAGGCCAACAATGTATTACCAGCCTGATGCTGCCTGCAAAGGCCAGGAATTGAAAACAAAGCCAGAGAAACTGCAACTGTGCTTTACCAGACATAAAGAGATTTTACAAAAGAAATCAACTTAAAAATTTTAGCTAATTGATAACTATCTTTGTTTCAATTTCAGTTGATGTTTAGTTGGTGTGCTTAAAACATTTCTTGTGCATTGAAAATTCTTGACTTGTAATTATAGGGTTAACTTGCTCTTTTCTGTTCTTCCTTGCTGAAGAACTCAAGGTTACTGCTGTTCTACTGGCAGCCTGTCAAATTTTAAAATGTAATGACCTGAGAACAAAAAAAGGGGACACTTTAAAATTTCAACAGCTGAAGTCAAATTTGTTGTAGAAGGTTTATAGTAAGACCATGAGAAAATATTGAGAAGGCTATAAAAAAAGAGATATACTTTTAATATGAAAATTTTATATGTTTGTCTTGTTAGAAGGATAAAGAATGATATATAAGACCAAAAGGCCTAGGTATGTCAAGAAAGTGCACAGTAATGATTTATCAAGAAAATTTGTATGTTCCCTTGTTGGTTTCAAGATTGTTATAAAAGATTTGCTTTTACAGGCATAAAGTTTTCATTTTTAACAGTTCTACAAGAGAACTCTGTTAATTGACTTACAAAAAGTTTGAATAGTATTATTTATAATTATGAACCTAAAAATTACAAAAGGATATTATAATTCAATTAGGCTAAATATATTTGAGTACACTCTCATTTTATAAATTGTCTTATATTTTTGTTTATCCAATCATACTTCTGTTCTGTTTGAACTCAACAAATTTTTTTTTGCCTTTAAAATTTTTTTGAAAAAAGATTTTTACCTATAATTTAAATTGCCTTATAGATAAAGGTTATTTAAATTAAAGGCATGCTCCCCCCTCCCGGTTGATAACAGATTAAAAAACTGTAATACATATTATTGTCTAAATATAATCACTCCAAAACTTTAATTTGTTACAAGTAATGTAACAATCTGGTTTTTATAGGCTACTAAATAAGCTTTGTCAAGGTAATTAAATGGAGACCCTTGCATTTGAGAGGCTGCTAAACAGAACTCCCCTTGTTGAACAAAGCAGGACCCACATGGAAATATTTTCCAAACTTTTCTCACTAGGGGGACCTCAACAGTTTCCACACTCTTACAAATGACTGACCCTGATAGTTTTCATAGCCTTATAAGAGACTTACATCCATGAATATTGCTTAAATATGTTATTGTAATATGTTTACATTGGTTGTCATCAAAAGGTTAAATTCTAAATATGTTATTGTGATATGTTTACACTTGTAATCTTTAAATGATTAAATTTTCTGTGAGAAAAACAACAAGGTTTTATTGAAGAAATGCTTTTTGTACCAAACTAAATTAAGGGGCAATAAATTTCATACATATAATTGTGATATTATTGTTAAATTTCTGTTGTACTAAATGTATTCATCCTTTCTGACTATACAGATTTTTCTAATATATTGTTTATGATAATGACCTCCTTTTGATTCAAGTGTTTGACTTTTTCTTACATTCCACCTACTTATCATAATAGCTGCATTTATAAGCTGATGAATTTTCTTTAGATGGCATCCCATCAAAAGATTACAATTTAGTTAAGAGGGTTTTTTCATTTTCAGAGGAGAATGAGTGCATTTAACAATGGCTATTTTATATTAAGATGGACATTTAATGGTGTTACAAAGATAATGTCATCATGATTGTCATGCTAAAATATTATGTGTGGCTCTTGATTTGAAGCTTTTTTTCTGTTAACATTTTACAGGACCTTAACTACTACTTAACTACAGGACCTATCAACCATGATTGATAAAAAATGTCTTCCAACTATACTTTATATTTCAAAGTTCTTGATATTCATATAAAATTATAATAATTAAATTCACTATTCCCATTCCAATGCTAATGTTATTGATCTTCTCTTCTGGGAGTTCAACAACTAAAGTTTAGAGGCTAGAACTAGAAAGAACTGGCTAAGAAGGCAGCCAATATTTTGGCCCTGGCCCTTCAAGGTATACAAACAACCCACGACATGAAGAACATTTTCTGCAAGATCCTGGAATTTTGGTAAGTCACCCAACCTAGTGAGAAGGGAGATTGTAGGATACCAAAAAGATAAGAAAAAAATAGTGTGCCAAAGGAGTGTCACTTATAGTAAAAAAATCTCTTATGCTTTCACAGAAAGCAACATGGTCAAGCAAGGCCATGACACATCCTGATGGCTGACACTGACAGAAGCTGAGGGTTCAAAGTAATCCCTGTGGAGACTTAATTGGCCTTGATAAACAGCAAGTGATTAATTTTAATTAATACAGGTCTCACCTTAACTTGGTCTTACACATCAGTTAGAATAGAAAACTATAATCTAAAGATATATATATATATATATATATATATATATATATATATATATAGTCAAGACCATAGTAATAAAGTTGTATATAAATAGGGGCTCCAATTGCTGACCTCCTGGCAGTTTCCAACTACACTAGTGACTCATCCCTGTTATGGGTCAATAGACAAAACTGGTAAAATTTATAGACCTCAACCTGAGTTTTTAAAATTTAGCTAAAATTATTTTTTCAATTATTAAATTTTCAATGTTTTTACAGCTACAATTAAAAAATATTATGACAAAATATCAAACCAATGGCTGGTTTGAGTGCAGTGGTGTTTACAACTAATTGATCACAACCATTTACAGATAATCTTCATTAATGAAAGGGTCTAAGAGGCAGCAGGTTACAGTCATTATTTTAGTCCTCTAAAAGCAGTTTTTAAACATGGCTGTTTCCCTACCTGCTTTTCATTTCAGTACTTATACTTTGATATTGTGCTCAAATTTTTCAAACAATTTTGTTTATTCTTGCCTATAGGCTGCCAAACTGCAAGTGATTATATAGAAAAAGTCAACAACAAAATGTGCTAGATTTTTCACCAAAATCCACCAGATTGACTTTATAAGGAGTTTACAATTGCAACATGATTTTTGTTTAAAACCTATTAAATTAGCTCCCTGAGAAGAGCCCCTAATTTAGATGGTCCCTACATCGACCCTTCCCAGCTTGAAGCAGTTGGATTGAAACTATGCCCTTTTCCCCCTAACCTCAGTTGGAGATGCTCTTTATTTAAAAAGTTACTGTAGACACCTAAGTCAGTTAGACACATTGTAAGTGCTTGTGTCAGAGGTCCATTAGATAACTCACAGGGACCAGCCACTGTTGGGAGTGCTCAGCTTTCCCTAAAAGCATAATTACATAAACAAAAGGGGGGGTACAGCTATCTCCACAAACTGAATTAGATCTTGTTTCTTTCATTGAAAATTTTTCAAATCCACTTATGGAAAATAAATATATACAATGATAAATCTATAGACACATCCTAGACACTACTGTTGTCAAAGGATATTCTAAATAAAAGATAAATGGCTCAATATAATTCATAACATAGGGGTTAGGGTATGCTTATTTTTCAACAGAAAATTAAAAGATGCTATGGACATCATCATCCCAGAATGTATTACCATAAACCAATTTGATGGATTTGCTGCAAGCTGCACAATGCGGCAGCCCTGCCGAAAGCCACAAAGATGACATCAGAGTGACTCCCTTCACCTGCTACAGTTCCGGGAACTACAAAGTTCACCCAACCAGATGCAGTTGCCTTTCTCAAACATAAAAGGGGGATATGGCATGGGCTAAGCCTGCAGATGGGCCTTCACCTCCTCCCT